TCTACCTCCATCTGTTTTTCGGCGATTTCGGTACTCCTCTAGATCCTTTTTTACAAATGGTTATAGTTTTCTTCCCCCAACTCTCTCCCCCCATAAATCAGATTTATAGTCAAAAACATTATAAAAAAATACCTCAAAATGAAATTTTTAAAAATTTATAAAATTTCTAAGAACGTTCGGCAGGGAGTGGGGAGGTGACTCTACAGCTCTCCCGCCTCCCTCTCTACCACCCCCTACCTCATATTTCCGGCAACTTAATTTCAAATCTTACCCTTGTTTTCTACTTGTTTTTGTGCTCTTGGAGTCCGGACTCCTTCTTATTTTTGTAATTTTACAATATATTTTTTCTTTTTTCTTCTAACATAGCTTCAGTCATTATTACTCTACTTTCTACGCCGATCCTTCTTCTCTTTTTCTGTCAACTTTTGTGTTTTGAAGATTTACTACTCGTCGTCTCGTAGATACTCAATCAAAATGTGATTCAATAGTATTTTAAACTTTGATGGAATTTTGGAATTTATGTTAGATCTTTGAAATAATACTAAATTTCATTGTAAACTGTTATTTGTTTACGTGTCTTATAATTTCTTGACAGTACTACAACACACAACATTAACAACTTTTTTTTTTCAAATTTTCTGCCACACCTTGTGGAGACAACCATAGCGATAACGAACAAAAAGTTGCCCTAACAAGCGTTGTTTATTTTATTTATGAAAAAGAATGATAAACATAGGCGGTATTCACTTCAGCCAACAGCCATCACTTCGACAAACCAGTCGATAGAATTGAAATCGAAAAAAGTAACACATTTTAATTTATTCATGTTAACAGCTACACTTTAGAGGTGATATTACTCATTGTTGTTTTGAAATGACGTGAAAACTTTTTCCTACAAGGTCATGTGTTGCAATTTATTTTATCATTTTACTTACTTTTTATTTCTTCCTCTGAGAATTGACACTTCACTTTTGACCCACTTATAGCACCTCTATTCAATTTAATAATTTCAGCAGCTCACTTTTGTTCTATCAAAAAGTGTGACTGATTTCTGACAAGTATGCATTAGGGTTGCCATAAAAAGCAAAACAGCGTTGCAATTATAAATACTCTGATTATACCCTTTACAACTTTATATGTAGACATTTATAAGAAAAAAATTGTGACAATAGTAGAAACATCAATAACTTGCGAGCATACAACACAAGCACAAAATTTTTATAATTGGAAAAAATCACATAACCGCTTTACTTTAAAGTAAACAAAAATTTTACGGAATCGTGCCACAAAAACAAAAAAACAAACGGCAAAGTCCTTAAGGATGGGTATCGTTCCGAAATTTGTAATTTTAGCTGGTAGTTTAAAAATCTATTTTTAAATAGCCATCAAACCTTCACGTGGCGTCAGCGAACAGTCGACAGACCGTGACAGGTCACGTATTGTCAACACTTTTTTTAATTAAATTATCATTTATCTGCAAAATAACATTCATATCAAATATGATATACCATTTTATATTACAGCAAATGCTAATCAAGAAGTCGTATTCATGAACTACCATTATGCGAAAGCAAATTTATCAGGTTCGTAGTATGACCCAAATACGCTTCGCGCTTACTGAATCTCGTTATGTGGGAGGAAGGATACTCAGTGGAGATGCCACTGAATATGGAAAAGCGCAATGACTTAGCTTGACAAAGACCTATCCACTCTCGCCTTGAAGACCATACCCACATTATAGTTAGATGAATAGAGAGATGCTGGCAGATTATTCCACTCTTTTGCTGTGCTCATTATAAACGACGAAACAAGCCGTTTGGTTCGAATGCGAGGTATGTCGACAACAAAGGGATGGAGACCAGCCGACCTTCAGATGGTCTGATGATTTATTTTATAGAATAAAGGTGAAAAACTAGCACAAATCACCTGATGGTAAGTGGATGCTGTTGTCCATAGACATCTACATTTATCCTGAATTCAGTATCAAAATGCAGATACGTTGTCACCTCTAAGGACTGAGATAGAATGTCTAGTTTCCAGTAAAAAGGGTGGAATGGAGATTGAGGAGCTGAGTGACCACTGTACAGTTTGACGAAGTATCCGGCGTGCATGACACCATACTCTTTTATCCTTGCTCTGAGTGAGTGCCACTTAAAATATATGTTGGTTGCGCTGCCGTGCCGCACACCCCACTATAATATAAATATTAAAAATTGCAATTAACAATTAAATTGGCGCTAGCAGGCATTGTTCACTGGTTGCTCGAGCAACCAGACTAACACGATAACACTGGTAGCTCAGAAGCTACCAGTGTTACCGTGTTACTGTACACTACCCATGCGGTTCAAGAATGTGATTGAAAATGGCGTCACCTCTATTCACCTCTCGATCGCACACTATCGCAATCTATACTCACAGCCGCTGGTAAAGACTGCAAAAAATTGTGATATGTGTTTTTCTTACTTTTTATAACCTCAGTCCAGCTTGTCATTGGAATCAATGATCAGTCCTGTTTTGCTTATTTGTGAGCTATGATAGATCCTGAGAGTTTTTTTTTAAATAATTATTGTAGCAAACTAATGCTAATATTTTTATATAAAATATTTAAATGCCATTGAGACATGAGTAACCATATTTAAATTTTTTGTTTATCTGTCTATCTAAGCTAATCTTTGGAAAAGCTGAACCGATTGTAATAAAACTTCATAAAAAAATATAGAGTTATACCAGGAGTGACCTAAACTTCATTTTATTCCAAAAATTTAGAAATTTTATTAAAATAGAAATATTGATAAGATAAAATAAATGGTATTTCATTATTATCTTAAGTCTAATAATGCCACATTAATGGATCCCACCCAGGTGAAGCTAGAGTGGGTCGATAGTTTTAAATGTTATTTTAAAATTAAAGAAGCTAGTTGCTTATACAATTCTTTTTAAATATTTTCCTATTGATTGAAAATTTCAAATTAACCGAATAATATAACGTTATAACGATATATCGTTATTAGAGAGTTTTCTCTATTGGCACTGTGCATGTTGACGGTACGGGCTCGATGAGGCGCCATTTCTAATCCCATTCTTCATCCGTACGGATCGTAACTTTCATTGCATAAAATCATAAGTTCGGTTGTCTTGCGTAATGCCAAAATTATACAGATAGCGTGTCTTTAAGAATGTATACCTACTTTTGTGAAGGGAATGCAAACAATAATCTTATAAACGATAAACAAAGCAGCAGCATTTTAAGTATAAACGAAAGTAAACTAAATTTTACGGCTCATAAACAAGTTATTATGTATATACAAAAATTTGATCGTTGAGTCGTACTGTTTATATAATCGAATTGCTTTTAAAATAAGAATAAGAAAACCAATTAGATACTCGATAGCAACAATTACGTTGCTATCAGGGATAAAATTGACTTTCTTATCTTCTTTAATCTATATTATCTCTTTCATATATTTTCTTGCGGTAATCCGTTGCCGTTATCGTAACAGCCTTTTAAAGTCTATTGATGAACATATGAGTAAGTAAGTAATTGTATAGAGTGTCTCTTGGGGGGTATTTGCCATATTAGCATCAATATTTTTATTTTTAGTCGTTATTAGGATGACACTGCTGCCCATTTGTTTCACCCGCACACCAAACCCACGGCATGATATGGGGTAGTGGATATACGCCACTTCACGGTAAACATTTACATTAGCAACAATTACATTATAATATATTTCATTCCATGAGAGTATATAAGAATGTAAGACAGGATCTCATATCTCCGAAACTCTTCACCGCTGCATTGGAAGACGTTTTCAATCTACTGGACTAGAAAAGATTCTGTATTACATCAATGGCAAATACAAACCTTACCTGTGATTTGTCAACGATATAGTCACAATTGAAAAATTCTTGGAGGACCTTTTTACTATGCTCAACGACCTCACTAGCGTTTCCTAATGGCTAGGTTTTCGATAAATATGGAATAGACAAAAATCATGTCTAACTTCCACGTTATACCTACATATACCGGTAGTTGTTGGGAACACTACGCTCGAAGTTATTAACCTGGGGCATATGTCCGATTACGTAAATCCTAAAGGCCGACGTATCCAATTCGGCAGAGGAGTGTGTTCAGGAAACTGAGACAGATCTTTTTTGTCTGATATTCCTCAGAAACTTCAGACGAAAGTGTACAGCCAGTGCAGTGATGACATATGAATCTGAGACGTTGTCCCTTACTGCAGGCCGAGAAGCGACCTAATAAGCTCATAGTCTCTCGGAAAACCGTGAACGCTAAGTGTATACTCGGTATTTCTCTGCTGGATGAAATACGTGACCAAGATACCCAAAGTAACTGACATACATAGTGGATCAGTAAGCTGATACGGTAATTTGCCGGTCATATAACTTGAACAACCGACACCCGTTGGAACAGAAAGGTTCTTGAGTGGCAACCTCGAACTGGCAAGCGAAGATTTAAGTATTTTTTGCAGTGTGGTAAGAAAACAACGGCTTAATCAAAAATAGTTTTACATCAGGGGCAGTCCCATAATATACATTTAAAACAAATCAATTTCTAAAGTGGGAAAAATTGATTAATATTTTAATGTATTTATTCGATATTCTGGTTGTTACCATAAATTTATATATTCTACAGACCACTCGTAAAGGTAAAAAAACAAAACATGACTTGACAACGACTTAAAACCTACTTGGGAATCTATTATGTAGAAACTATATTGCCATTTTTGGTTTCAAAATTGGTTTTAGTTTTTCAAATTTGATTATAAAACTACTTTTTAAAGAAATTTACTAAAATACTCATTCCAATTTCTTGTCCAGTAATAATTGTATAGTATAGTATAGGTAAGCGCTCTATATCCCGAAAAATAACCGACTTTTATAATATATTAATGTATATTAGTAATTAAATTACATTTTGAATTTTATTATTCATAGATTTTTCAATTCTTTAAGAATATGTTTTTAACATATTTCAGATGTGGTGGCTCCCTTATCTCCCGGCGCCACGTAGTTACGGCAGGCCATTGTGTGGCACGGGCTCAGCCACGTCACGTTCGAGTGACCCTTGGAGATTACGTCATCAACTCTGCGGCAGAACCTCTTCCTGCATACACGTTCGGCGTTCGAACGATCAAAGTACACCCACTGTTCAAGTTTACACCACAGGCTGATCGGTTCGATGTCGCCGTGTTGACGCTCGACCGGAACGTGCATTATATGCCGCATATCGGTTAGTCTTTTTTAATCATTGTAAAATCAATTATTCAAGGCTAAATTTATAATATCTTAACATTAGAAAAATAAATATATGCTCTGGTTAGATTTTTTGTTCTATATAGTCCGTCGTAGTCATTACCAGACCGTTTAAGTTATGAACTGAATAAGGTTTTTTTTGCAAGTTGGAATATTCTCTGTAATCGCTACGCTAGACAGTCTAGTGATTAAATTTTAATACAAGTTCACCCTTACTTAATTCTACAATCTTACAAACAGTCCACCTAGCAGTACGGACTTACGTATCTGAAACGTGGTCCTTCAATGCTGGCCGTATGAGGACGCTCAAGGTCGCTCAGCGAGCTATGGATAGGGATATGCTCGGAGTTTCTCTGCGTGATAGACTCAGAAATGAGGATATCCGCAGTAAAACCAGAGTGACCGACATAGCCCAACGGATTAGTAAGCTGAAGTGGCAATGGGCGGGCCATATAGCTCGAAGAACCGATGACCGATGGGGAAGAAAGGTTCCCGAGTGGCAGCCTCGTACCGGTAGGCATAGTGTAGGGCGACCCCCACTAGATGGAGTGACGAACTAGTAAGATATGCAGGAAGTCGATGGATGCAGGTGGCTCAGGAGCATCCTCATCCATCCATCTTCGGAATGAACCATCCTCAATAAAGAATTTAAATTCAGATACATTGTCGCTTCTGAGTTGTAAGTTACCAGTAAAAATGGTCTCCGGTTCTCGTCACTAATGATCACACCACACCATACTTATGTTGTTATTTTACGCTAATAGTCTCGAAGACCATTGTAATCGTTCGCATTACAGTCATAATACAGTAGCTAGTAACCATGTACTCTTTAAGTGGCATTATAAGAATATCTACTACTTCATATCGTCCAGGGGGTGTCGAAAGAGGCTACGGTGGGAAATTAAACCAGATGATGAGCAGCATCTTCCTGATGACAACTCAAAATAGTAAAAAACTGCGATTGCCAACCCGCATGCCAATCATGGGAACTATGGCAAAATCCCTCCTATAAGGCAATCTATAGGGGAGGCCTATGTTCAGCAGTGTACGTTTATAGACTGCAATGTTTGGAATGGAAGCTCTATAAAGCTAACAGTGGAAAATCAGCAGAAACCATATAATTTTACACAGGAATTTGTAGCTAATTTGTTGCTAATTAGTTGCCAAAATCGCAATTTTGTTTAAAAAAATCGAATTACTGCTATCTTAACGTTATGATCAACAGTAACAATATATCCGCTGTATTTTTTAAATCTAATGTTATGATGGTATATGCATATATAATAACTTAATTGTTGGTGTAGCTTATCGATCGATTTTATTTTGTTGTAGGCTTTCTAGGAGCTTTCGATCTATTTATTGACGAGCAATAAAATACTCGTTAATGTGGATCTTCACAACCAGTGTTAGAACATAACTTTATGTGTGGTACGAGGGTGGATTGAAAAGTACTCGGCCTAACCAAGAAAATAAACACATACTAAATCAGTTATATTTTTATTTTTCTACATAATCACCATGAAGTTCAATACACTTTTGCCACCTCCACTTCCAAGCATTTAGACCGTTGAAAAAAAATGATTCTTCCTTAGAGTCAAAATATGCGTCTACAGCTGCTTTGACCTCGTCGTTTGTCGAAAATATTTGACCTCCCAAGTGCTTTTTTAGGTTAGGGAACAGAAAGAAGTCTGATGGTGCCAGATCAGGTGAATACGGCGGATGCGGTAACAGTTCAAAGCCACAGTTGTGAATTTCAGCCATTGACTGTACTGACGTGTGAACACGGGCGTTATCTTGATGAAACAGGACTTTTCTTCTGAGCATTCCTCAACAATTTTCTTTTATTTCCTCTCGTAAACGACGTAGTAAGGTGCAGTAGTAATCAGAGTTTATAGTCTGACCCCTTTCAAGATAATCAATCATAATCACACCTTTCGAGTCCCAGAATACTGAAGCCATCACCTTATTTGCCGACAAAATCGACTTAGCCTTTTTAGGGGGTGGTGAACCAGGTCTTCTCCACTGTTTTGATTGTTGTTTTGTTTCCGGTGTACAGTAATGAACCCATGTTTCGTCCATAGTAACAAAACGATTCAAAAAATCATCTGCATCGGCTTCAAATAACTCCAAACAGTCGCGTGAAATAGTCAATCGCGTCCTTTTTTGTTCAACTGAAAGCAGTCGCGGAACCCACCTAGCAGACACCTTGTGGAAACCCAACTCGTTGACAATGATGTTTTAAGTTCGTTCATAAGTGATGCCTATAATCTCGGCTGTCTCTCTAATTTTTAATCTGCGGTCTCCCATTATTAAATCAAGTACTTTTTTAATATTTTCGTCAGTAGTTGACGTCGAAGGCCTTCCAGAGCGGGGTTCATCTTTCACACTCTCTCTACCACGCTTAAATTCTGCTATCCATTTTTTGACGGATGAATATGACAGAGCACAATCGCCTATTGTACTGACCATGTCATCATGGATGGCTTTTGATGATAGCCCCTTCTTATGGAAGTACTTAATGACGGCACGCTGTTCGATTTGCTCCATTCGCGGAAATTATGTCCGATTACTTTAATGATTTCTTATATTTACGCGAACACTACACATTGAAATAATACTAATTTTTACGGAATTTATCGCGTGTATTTAACTTTTTTACCCGACGTTTCGAGAGCTTAACAGCACCCATGGTCACGGGAAGGACTGAGATGTTCAACGTCCAGCTGTCATAGTTAACCGCGGTTACCATAGATTAAAATTTAACTTTTGTTCCGATCTACACAGTATGAACTTATGGTGTCATGGAGTCTTGCAGTTGTATGCTTGGGTTGGGATTTAATTTTATTTATTATAGGATCCCAAGCAGATGGTAGCACCCAGCCATCTTCTCTATTGAAATTAGGATGTTTTTTGATTTCAATAGCCTCGCAAATCATCCTTGGAAGGAATCGGTGTTCTTTAGCGAGGATTTGTGGTCTATCAAATCTGATGTAGTGACGGGGGCGATCCTGTACATGTTCACTGGAAGTCTGCAGTCTGTGAACATGTACAGGATCGCCCCCGTCACTACATCAGATTTGATAGACCACAAATCCTCGCTAAAGAACACCGATTCCTTCCAAGGATGATTCGCGAGGCTATTGAAATCAAAAAACATCCTAATTTCAATAGAGAAGATGGCTGGGTGCTACCATCTGCTTGGGATCCTATAATAAATAAAATTAAATCCCAACCCAAGCATACAACTGCAAGACTCCATGATACCATAAGTTCATACTGTGTAGATCGGAACAAAAGTTAAATTTTAATCTATGGTAACCGCGGTTAACTATGACAGCTGGACGTTGAACATCTCAGTCCTTCCCGTGACCATGGGTGCTGTAAAGCTCTCGAAACGTCGGGTAAAAAAGTTAAATATACGCGATAAATTCCGTAAAAATTAGTATTATTTCAATCCGATTACTTTGTTAATAAATTTATAAAATCACAACTAATTATCGCACACGTTTTGAACTTCACACAATGAACTAGTCTGAACTGAACTAAATAATGTGGGTAGATTTGATTTTTAGAATTGAATGGATCTGTGTTAGGCCGAGTACTTTTCAATCCACCCTCGTAATTTTTTATTTTTGAAAAAAGAAATTGTTTCTGATTTTTTTATATTTTTTGCACTATGTTCTAGCAAACAATTTGCAACGATTTATCCGCTACGGCCGGGTTGATTTGAAGTTTTTACTGCTACCTTTACATTAAGATAGCAATAATTAGATTTTCTTCAACTAATTAGCAACAAATTAGCTACAAATTCTTGTGTACAATTTTATGGTTTTTGCTGATTTTTCTTGATGAAGCTTGGAATGGATGTAAATGCCACGTGAAATATTGATTTGTAATATATTGTAGAATAAAAAGTATTACTAAATAGATAAATTCCGTTTCCATGTGCTATTTATAAGGTGGTGTAGGAAAAAAAAAAACATCATTCGGATACCTACAGGGGTTTATATGACGTAGTGAATGTTTTACGCTGCCACATCTTTTTAAAAAAAAATTAATGATAAAATCGCCGTGTGGTGGTGGCATAAGGCATCTATTATCCCACAATCTCGTAGGTGTCTTAAGAGATGACAGAGGAAATTAAAACGGAAGATGGATAGCGGCATATTTTTGATAACAACTCAAAACAAATTCAAACTGCTGTTGCTAATCCGCCTGCCTAGCGTGGTAACTATAGCTACACCCCCATATAGCAATAAATAGGGTAAACCTATTTTCAATTCTGAGTTTGTAATGAATAATGACTAAAAAACCTTTTTCAGCACCAATATGCTTGCCAGAACGAGGGTCGGATTTCCTAGGACAGTACGGTTGGGCTGCCGGCTGGGGAGCTTTGAGTCCAGGGTCAAGGTTGCGTCCACGAACACTGCAAGCGGTTGATGTACCTGTACTGGATAACAGAGTATGCGAAAGGTGGCATCGAGCTAATGGTAAGTTAATTGCAAGGCAAGAAAATCAAACCGTTAAAATCACTGTTGGTGATAAGAGTTAAAACTTGAAACTTAGCTCTTTCTTTACTTAAGGGCTAAGTATAACTATTCGGCGGCCAAACACAGCCAGTGTTCTTGGCACTATGTCACGGGGAGTAGGATTGTAAGTTTTTTAATATTGTATATATTTCAATATTATATAAATAAAAAATAATTACTTGTAATAAATAAATGACGTAAAAAAATTCCAAGTTAAATTGTTTCATCCACAAGGGCGGATATTTTAAAATAAGAATGAAGTTAAAATTAAAATATGTATTGGTATATAGTTACAGCAATTACAGAAGAATCATTTGTAAGCTGAAAAGTTCTATTAACCCTCCCTGAAATGAGAGTCCTCTGTGCCCAGCGCAGTGAGGCATATCTATATCTATACAAATAAATAAAATTTAACTGTCTGTTAGTAATGTTAAAATAACAGCTTTTCTAAATGTATATGTAAGTATATACGGTACTGATAAAATACTATTTTTTAAAGTTTTTGTCTGCCTGTTTGCTCCGGCTAATCTCCGAAACGGTAAGATCAATTTTGACTGAACTTTCACTGTCAGATAGCTGATGTTATGAGGAGTAACTAAAGGAGTAACTTTTGTCTAAAAAAACCTGAAGAATTGGGGTGAAAAGGAAACAGCTAGTTATAAATAAATTAATTATTTGAAACGATTTAACTGACACTTTGTTAACTCTCTTCGTTCGGGGGTTAGGTTAGGGGTTAGTTTTTGTATGTATGTACCTATGTTTGAATGAATGTAATGGAATATCTATTTACATTAATCCAGTTTTCACACTCTTTCAGACGTCTCAATAATTTTGATATTTTACAAACGTATTAAAAATGGATGGTTATGGTATAATTTTATGAGTTGATGAATATCACCTAGCATTTTCACTAGAATCATCATAGCTACATAATATACTAGGATATTGTAGTCAAGTACTTACTTAGAATATTTTTAAAAGGACAAAGACTGTGATGGGTTTCATGTTATGTAAAGAGTTAATCATATTATGGTGACATAAATATTTAAAAAAATTATGAAGTAGATTTAAATTTTAAATACGTCCTATAGTTTGATATTCAGCGTAACTGCTAAACAGTCTAACCGATGTTAAGTGTATGCTGCTGCCCATAGATGTCTATATTAAGCTTCGATTAACAATCAAAATGCAGATGCGTTGTCACTCCTGATGACTGTGATGGAACGCCTCGTTTATAGTAAAAAGGGTCTCCGATTATTTACACTCACCATACGAAACACAGCAGCATTAAGCTCCTATTTTACGCTGGTATTCTGTGAGAGCGCGGTCCTTCCCCGATCGAGCCGACCCAATCCTGCTACAACCATAATATAACTGCGGCGTGGCTCTACCACGTAAAATTGATATACGAGTACAAAGTTCTTCAAGAAACTATGTATATTACGCGTTAACTAGTAATTAATAAATTGATGATGATGATTAACAAAATGATGGTATCGTAATTTATTACAAAAATGATATTGGGGTTTTAATTACTGAACCCATGTTTTCTGAAGGTAACTGTGTGGTAATAAAACACAAAAGTATTGCTATAGTTGCAATTTATCGTTCGCCTAGCTTTCAAAATGTAGACTTGTTTTTACAATCTTTAAATGTAATTCTTACGTCGTTGTCTTCCCATAAAAACTTATCTGTGATGGGCGATATAAATATAGATATAGCAAATTATACAACGGATAACAGATCAACTGAGTATCTTAATCTAAATGCATTTCACGGACTTCTTCCTGCTCATAATATGCCTACTAGGCTCAATGCTTGTTTAGATCACGTTATGATGCGGTCAACTATGGCAGCCACTACAGTAGTGTGTAATTCGACGGTAACTGACCATCAAGCTGTGATATTATGTTTAAACACCAAGCAAAAAAATAATTTAACATCTAGAACTCGAACAAAAATTGATTATGACAAAATTAGACTAGAATTAGAACAAAATAACTTTGATTTTGTATTCAAATGTTCTAACGCAAATGAGGCTGCTACACTTTTTGTATCATATTTCCAACAATTATTAATAGCGAATACAATTAAAGCTACAATTTCGAACCGCTTAAGACCTATTAAACCCTGGATTACAGTAGGAATTTTAAAATGTATACGAAATCGTGATAATTTATTTAAAAAATATAAATCTTTTCCTGACAATAATATCATCAAAATAACATATACTAGATATCGAAATTATTGTAACTCCATGATTAAAAAAGTTAAAATGGCTTATTATAGAGATAAAATTAGTAAAGCAGGTAAAGATAATAAAAAGCTTTGGGAAACCATTAAAGAGATATCAAATACCACGAAAATGAAAACTGATTCCACCGAACTGCTTAACAGTGCGAAGAAACCTCAAGAGGCTATCAATTCAATTAATAATTATTTTGTAAATGTAGGTAAACAACTTGCTGATAATATTGCAGTTAAGGAAAGGGTTACAAGTTCTTTAGCAATTAGATCAATACAGAACTGTACGTCGTCCTTTGTAATACTCGAAACTGACGAAGAAGAAGTTTCCAGACTCATCATGAGCCTAAAAAACAAATGTGCTAATGGATGGGACAATATCTCTAACTGTTTTATAAAAAAAACTAAAGAATATATTGTTGGGCCATTGACATATATATGTAATCTTTGTTTTAATGAAGGTGTATTTCCTCAAGTTTTTAAACGGTCTATTATTCATCCAATTTATAAATCTGGAGACAGAGAAAATGTCGGCAACTATCGACCGATCTCAATTCTTCCATGTTTTTCGAAAATAATTGAACGAATTATAAACAAACAACTCACGAACTACTTAGAAAGTAAAAAACTTCTATCCCCTAACCAGTTTGGTTTTCGGCAGGGCAGATCCACTGATGAAGCAGTGCACGACTTAACAGATTACGTAGTTAAAAATTTGGACAAAAATAATAAAGTTATTGGATTTTTTTTGGATCTCGCCAAGGCGTTTGACACTGTGTCTACCTGCATTCTAATAGAAAAGTTAGAATTATGTGGTATTAGAGGAAAGCAACTTGCTCTATTTAAAGATTATCTATGTGATAGAACACAATGTACTAAAATCGGAGATTACATTAGTCACGAGGCATTAATTACCTACGGTGTGCCCCAAGGCAGCATTCTAGGTCCCACATTATTTCTCGTCTATATAAACGATCTCACTTCTATTCAGCTTCCTTATGGACATATAATATCATATGCTGATGACACATGCCTTCTTTTTTCTACAAATTCCTGGGAAGCTGTTCAGGATGCTGCCCAGATGGGGCTTGATTTGATGAATGAATGGTTGCAAAGTAATTCTCTTACTTTGAATTCTGAAAAAACCAAATATATTGCTTTCACAATACGTAAAGAACGCCTTGAACATATTATCAATAAACCACTGATCTCACACAAATGTCTCTCAAATATTAATATAAAATCATGTAAATGTAACAAAATAGAATTAGTCCATAACATTAAGTATCTTGGTATAATAATAGATTCCAACCTTTCTTTTAAAAATCATATCGAAGTACTATCCAATAGACTATCTAAATTAATATACATATTCAAAAATGTACGCCATGTGCTAGATAAGACAGCTTTAACACGTATCTACTATGCCCTAGCGCAAAGTCTTCTTACTTATTGCATCACCTCGTGGGGCGGTGCTCCTAAAACAAGTATGAAGCGCGTAGAAATATCACAAAGGGCCATTTTAAAAGTTTGCGGATTCTTCTCTTATAGACATCCAACTGAACTTCTTTATCGATACTGGCAGGTACTAACGGTACGTCAGCTGTTTATTCTCTATACCTTGTTGAAGCAACACAGTGGAATTACTTATGATCGCCATAAATTTGTAGGAGTTAGACGTAAAAACACAGTTTGTGCAACATTTTCAACAAAGAAGACATATACAAAAAAAATTCTTTTGTTACATGGGTGGATTCTTATACAATAAAATAAATGAAAACCTATCTATATATTCTAAAAATAAATATGATTGCAAAAAAAACGTACATGATTGGCTACTGAAATTAGATTATGATCTAACGGAATCGCTCCTATCAAGATAAATATAATATACGCACACACACACACCCAAAATCACAAAACACACACACACACACACACACACACACACACACACACACACACACACACACACACACACATACACGCGCGCGTGCACGCGCATACTATACACTACACTACACGAACATAAATATATAGTAATATACATACATATATGTATTTATACATTTTATATCATAATACACTCTTAATTAGTATTTTATCCTGGATTTTCGCTGTAATTTTAAAAAATATAAGAATTCCTTTGTTTATCTATCTATCTATTGTTTTCCTAGAGTATTTTCATTCAATGTCATGGCATTCGAGGGGTGGGAACCTGGTGACTTGTACTACAGGCTTATATATGCCTACTTCAGGCACCAGCTTCTCACATAATAGAATTCTGTATATGTACTACTAGATTTACACTGTTTTACTTTATGTTATGTGAGAGGATAAATAAAGACATTATTATTATTATTATTATTATAATTCGTACATCATTTCAGGTATAAACGTTGTCATATACCCGGAAATGCTTTGTGCTGGTTACCGTGGTGGGGGGAAAGATAGCTGTCAAGGAGATAGTGGAGGTCCCTTAATGCTGGAGAGAGCTGGAAGATGGTACCTCATCGGCGTAGTCTCAGCTGGATACTCCTGTGCTAGTCGAGGCCAACCTGGCATCTACCATCGTGTGGCACACACAGTGGATTGGATATCACATGCAACGACGCTCTCATAGCATAGAAAGTAGAGCGCTATTTATACATATACATCTCAAAAAGTGGCAATATCTCGAAGCGATTATACATAATGTGATTTTTTCATTACCACAGTACACCAGTGATAATTTAGTTTAAGAAGCTTGGTAGCTTTGCAAAAATCTAATGGCCGCTCATTGTACATATCAACCAACATATGAAGTTATTTTCATAAAACTTTGTAAATTTAATTTTGCAATTGGCTATGAAATCTAAATGTTATCGCAGGCCACTAAATAGCTTGTTTTGAAAAACATCACTGGTCTAAAATTAAATATCAAACTACTTCATTTATGTTACCACCAAAAATAGTTATTTATTTATAGTTTATTAACCCATTAATAAGGTTAGCGCTCCTTATTATTAAAATTCATAAGTTATAAAAAAAACTTCAGAACCTACTTGTTAATTATAAAATCAATAACAATATGTATACTGAATTATATTTTTATTCTTTCAAAAATGAAAATAAAAAGTTTTAATTCAAATAAAAAGCGGATATAATTTTGATATCCAATAACTGGGTGTTTAACATGTAATAATAATTGTTAAAATGAAATAAATATAAAATTTCTAAACAAATATTTCAAAAATGATAACATAATTATATGTGATATGAACATGATATGATGTGATAATGTGAAATCAAACGGCCGAAAATGCAATAGTATTGAAATAATTCATTAGTGCCTATACTCGTAGAATTTGTAAATAGAGTGAATAATTATAAATGTAAATATTATAAATAATTATGAAAAAGTAACCATTTATAATTTCATATTTACCATACATACATCAATAATGACATAAAATGTATTAACATTTTATAAAATGTCTAATTAGTCGACAATCACCAATATTAAATTATTTGAAAAGCTTTGTTATTTATTTTTGTGATGCTAATTTGGATTTTTACGCTTTTTTTAAATTATTTTAAATTTACATTTAGTAACATAAGTGTAAAAGAAATTTATTCTTAAGGCAGCGTATTTCATAAGTTAATAAATATATTTATTGTTAATTTATACATCTGTTTTATTTCACTAAGTATTAATCTTGATCAACAAAGAACGCAAAAAAAAGTATGCCGATCTTCCACCCATTCCGAATATTACGCCTGAATTAAAATCTTAGTGTCATGATGCCAATGTACAATAGCTGCAGCATGAATTTTATAAAGGACGGCGCTGCACACAGTCAAAATTTAAATAGAAAGCTTTTTGTGCCGTGTGATGACGCAAGAAAATTCATTGCCTATTTTTGTCCCGTGGGTGTCGTATAAAGCGATTGTATATCCAATAGATGGCGGTATCCCGCTTAAGCCAGGTGTAAAATACTCAAACCGTCTACGTGAAATAGTGTCAGAAGGTCAAAACGTCTGGTGCCGTGGCAGTCAGTTCATCTGTCAAATGTATTGATTAAGGTAAATACTCCAGCAGTGTTTTAAAGGAATAAGCAAGAAAAGGAACGATTATTGTCGTAAATTATTATTTCTATCCATCTATACATCCAACCGTCAAAATCTACTAAACATGGGCGCCTCCTTTTTTATAGGATAGGGTGACAAACGAGCACACAGTCCACCTGATGGTAAGTGGTTTCTGCGGCCCATGGACATCCACATCAATCCTCGATTGCCCTCGATTGAAATCAAAATGCAGATACGTTGTCACCCGTAAGGACTAAGATGGAGTGCCTCGTTTCCAGTAAAAAAGGGTCTCCGGTTCTCTCACTATGCGAATAGATGAACTACACTCAATATACGAAACACAGCAGTATTAAGCTACTATTTTACGCGAGTATTCTGTGAGAGCGTGGTTCTTCCCCGGTCGAGCCAACCCATTCGTGCTACAACTATACTACTAGTGTAACTGTAGCATGGCTCTACCACGTATAAAAGATTTCCTATTATAGATTGACTCATATGGGGGATTTTGACATAGTTGACATGTTTGGCAGGCGGGTTAGTGACCGCAGTTGCTTTTATTGTTTTGAGTTTTTATCGTAAAGATACTGCTGCCCGTCTCCTGCTTCAGTTTTACTCTATCGCCTCTTACTACACCCACGGGACGTGACGATAGCGAGTATGTATGAGACGATAGTAGTAGTAGATATTCTTACACCACCACTTCACGGTTAAGTATGCACTCATTTTTAATCACTCACACTCCACTTTACAATAAGCTTGTTTTTTCAATTTTTTATTATGAAAAGTCATAACACAGGCAACATAAGTATGCAAATTCAATCATCACATGACAAATAGTTCCTGCTCGCTTTAGTTTAACAAGATTTTCATCCAAGATTTAACAAAATTTCCTGTAGTTTTTTCTCTTGAAAAATATTCGAAAAATTCATGCAACATTTGCTTTCTATTTGTATGTTCAACATACATCATATAATGATTATAAATACCGAGCATAACAATTTAAGAAATAAGGAAAACTACTAGAAATTGCATATACATACTTAAAAAATTTCTTTATCATTTATAACAATATTAGCTGAACCCCGCAGACGTTGTCCTGACAGTTAATATCATTGGTTGTATTCAGCAACGTTTTTTATTTCAGCGCATGCAATTTAATTTATTAATTGTGCGCTCAATTAAAAAATAATATAAAATCAAACGTTTTGAATTTGGTTTTTACCTATTTTTTTAAAAGTTTATGAATATAAACCTTCTCTATTGAAAACTACACACACACACGCACACACACACACGCACACGCACACACACACACACACACACACACACACACACATATATATATATATGTGTGTGTGTGTATGTATATATATTAATATATAGATATACATATATATAATTACTTTCTATATAACAATATTAGTAACTTACGCTATAATTGCTGAATCAAAGAATTCTATTTTTTTGCTTTCCCATTCCAACCCATTTAAACACACACAGCAATTGATTTTTATCTATAGAGATAAAACAAATAATTACCGCGGACGTATGTACACCGATAATAATTAACAGCTTTACAATAGTTGATTATCGCTTACTTAAATAAGGATTTCCTTCCTTCCCCGCTGCATGTATATTTGTCCAGCATAATGCAAGCGTGCGACAGTCGGTGAACAAATTTTGATTCATTTGAAACGTTTTTCCTTATTTTCAAAAAATAAACCATCTAAATAATGAAATAAAGCATTTAAATGTAGATGATTGTGGCCGAGGAAGGAAAAGGGAGATCTCCCACCGGGCATGATGTTCTGCCTGGGGAGCGGCCAACGCTCCATGTGATATAGTTCGGAGGTGTTCTATAGATACTGTTTATGATTCGGATTTTCGATAGCGTGATTTAGGCTTCGGTATGTTCGCATGCAGTGCGACAATGGCGCCGCCACATCACCCCCCTGCTCAGACCGGAGGTCGATAGTGCAGCCTCGTTGCCGACGAATATGCAAGTGCCAGAGGATTGCCTTGTGGTCTGCGGTGAGTCGAGAAGAAGGCAAGTAACCTGCGAGAGTGCCGTGAAGCAGAGGCGAGCAGTAAGGCTCAGAGCCGTGCCGAACACTGTATAGCGCAGAGGTAGCTTGAAGGAACAGGAAGTATTATTTTTCCAGTGCTGTTATGAACCTTGTGAAGCTAGATGGCTTGCAGAATATGAAGACTGCAGACGATATCTGCTCGGGAGCGAATGGGTGAGGTATTCTATGACGATGATGAAGCTTGTAGTTTCCGAAGATTGTTGGTTGCTTGTTCAGATCATGTTTGGTGGTCACCACTGTGGCCGCCGAAGGTAAAGGGGAGATCTCACACCGGGCAAGATGTTCTGCCCGGGGAGCGGCCAACGCTCCATGTGATAGTTCGAAGGTGTTCTATATATACTGTTTGTGATTCGGAATTTCGATTGCGTGATTTAGGCTTCGGTGTGTTCGCTTGCGGCGTGACAACAGCGCCGCCACAATGATGTAGAACCTCATTAAATAACTTGATTTTTTATAGAATAGGGTATCAAACGAGCACACAGTCCACCTGATGTTTGCTGTGGCTCATAGACATCTACATCTACCCTCGATTACGAATCAAAATGCAAATGTGTTGTCACCCGTGGGGACTAATATGAAATGCCTCACTGCCAGTATAAATATCTCCGGTTCTCTATACTCACCATATGAAACACAGCAGCGTCAAGCTGCTATTTTATGCTGGTATTCTTTGCGAGTATGGTACCCTCCCCGATCAAGCCGACCTATTCGTGCTACAACTATACTACAAATATAACTGCAGCATGGCTCTATCACGTAAAAAATATTTATCTTTATATCCTATACATGACAGCCAAAATAACGACCTTGCTATGCGGTGCACCGTATGAATTTAAAAAATATGTTTTTACAACTAAGCAGGAAAAAATATACAAAATCAATTAAATCATGGAGTGGACCCGGATATGACAAAAAATCACCGAAGAAGATAATATGTATATCTAAATGCTAATAAAAATTATAATTTAGAAGATTTTATTTTATAAAAGTAATGAGGAAGTGAAGACTAAAATTATTCCGTTAAAAATAAGTTAAAAAGAAAATTAATTAAATGAATTTACGCAGATAAAATAAGTTAGAGAGAAATTTAATTACATGAATTTACGAAACAAAAATAGAAGAAAATGTAACCCAGCGAGCCTTAGCCGACGAGATTTAAACCAAAAAAGAGTAAGAAGAAAATAAAAGGTAATGACGCACTTGTGTTTTTTGTAAATTACTATTTTGCATGTTTACATCTTTTTGAGAAACTTTAATAATTATTGTATGTAATATGTATTAAGAGGAAACCTTGAAAATGAAAATGAACCGAAGTTTTGGGGGCGTGGCTTATTTCTTTGTCGGTGAAGCTAACGTATGACCGAGGGAGTGTCAAAATTAAAGTGATGCAATGACTTCATATTATACGGAAATTATTAGATAGCCAAAC